TGACCCCCTTTGTGCCCCCCCCCTGTTAGGGTCCCATTGACCCCCTTTGTGCCCCCCCCCCATGTTAGGGTCCCATTGACCCCCTTTGTGCCCCCCCCCATGTTAGGGTCCCATTGACCCCCTTTGTGCCCCCCCCCCCATGTTAGGGTCCCATTGACCCCCTTTGTGCCCCCCCCATGTTAGGGTCCCATTGATTTGTGCCCCCCATGTCCCCCATTGACCCCCTTTGTGCCCCCCCCATGTTAGGGTCCCATTGACCCCCTTTGTGCCCCCCCCCATGTTCGGGTCCCATTGACCCCCTTTGTGCCCCCCCCATGTTAGGGTCCCATTGACCCCCTTTGTGCCCCCCCCATGTTAGGGTCCCATTGACCCCCTTTAGGGTCCCATTGACCCCCTTTGTGCCCCCCCCATGTTAGGGTCCCATTGACCCCCTTTGTGCCCCCCCCATGTTAGGGTCCCATTGACCCCCTTTGTGCCCCCCATGTTAGGGTCCCATTGACCCCCCCCCCCATTGGGTCCCATTGCCCCCTTTGTGCCCCCCCATGTGCCCCCCCCATGTTAGGGTCCCATTGACCCCCTTTGTGCCCCCCATGTTAGGGTCCCATTGACCCCCTTTGTGCCCCCCCATTTGTGCCCCCCCCATGTTAGGGTCCCATTGACCCCCTTTGTGCCCCCCCATGTTAGGGTCCCATTGACCCCCTTTGTGCCCCCCCCCATGTTCAGGGTCCCATTGACCCCCTTTGTGCCCCCCCCCCATGTTAGGGTCCCATTGACCCCCTTTGTGCCCCCCCCATGTTAGGGTCCCTTTGACCCCCTTTGTGCCCCCCCCTTGTTTGGGTCCCTTTGACCCCCTTTGTGCCCCCCCATGTTTGGGTCCCATTGACCCCCTTTGTGCCCCCCCCCCCATGTTAGGTTCCCATTGACCCCCTTTGTGCCCCCCCCATGTTAGGGTCCCATTGACCCCCTTTGTGCCCCCCCCCCATGTTAGGGTCCCATTGACCCCCTTTGTGCCCCCCCCCCATGTTAGGGTCCCATTGACCCCCTTTGTGCCCCCCCCATGTTAGGGTCCCATTGACCCCCTTTGTGCCCCCCCCATGTCCCATTGACCCCCTTTGTGCCCCCCCATTTTTGGGTCCCATTGACCCCCTTTGTGCCCCCCCCCCCATATTGGGCTCCCATTGACCCCCTTTGTGCCCCCCCCATGTTAGGGTCCCATTGACCCCCTTTGTGCCCCCCCCCCATGTTAGGGTCCCATTGACCCCCTTTGTGCCCCCCCCATGTTAGGGTCCCATTGACCCCCTTTGTGCCCCCCCATGTTTGTGCCCCCCCCAGGGTCCCATTGACCCCCTTTGGGCCCCCCCCATTTTTGGGTCCCATTGACCCCCTTTGTGCCCCCCCATGTTAGGGTCCCATTGACCCCCTTTGTGCCCCCCCCCCCATGTTAGGGTCCCATTGACCCCCTTTGCCCCCCCCATGTTAGGGTCCCATGCCCCCCCCCCATGTTAGGGTCCCATTGACCCCCTTTGTGCCCCCCATGTTAGGGTCCCATTGACCCCCTTTGTGCCCCCCCCCCATGTCCCCATTGACCCCCTTTGTGCCCCCCCATGTTAGGGTCCCATTGACCCCCTTTGTGCCCCCCCCCATGTTAGGGTCCCATTGACCCCCTTTGTGCCCCCCCCATGTTAGGGTCCCATTGACCCCCTTTGTGCCCCCCCCCATGTTAGGGTCCCATTGACCCCCTTTGTGCCCCCCCCATGTTAGGCTCCCATTGACCCCCTTTGTGCCCCCCCCCCCATGTTAGGGTCCCATTGACCCCCTTTGTGCCCCCCCCATGTTAGGGTCCCATTGACCCCCTTTGTGCCCCCCCCATGTTAGGGTCCCATTGACCCCCTTTGTGCCCCCCCCATGTTAGGGTCCCATTGACCCCCTTTGTGCCCCCCCCCCCATGTTGGGCTCCCATTGACCCCCTTTGTGCCCCCCCCATATTGGGGTCCCATTGACCCCCTTTGTGCCCCCCCCATATTGGGCTCCCATTGACCCCCTTTGTGCCCCCCCCATGTCCCATTGACCCCCTTTGTGCTTTGGGTCCCATTGACCCCCTTTGTGCCCCCCCCCGTGTTAGGGTCCCATTGACCCCCTTTGTGCCCCCCCCCCCATATTGGGGTCCCATTGACCCCCTTTGGGTCCCATTGACCCCCTTTGTGCCCCCCAGGTCCCCTCCCCAATGGCTTGGGCCCCCCCACCCCCCCGGAAGCCGCCATCGTCATCAGCAACGTCTGCAGCGTGGGGGGGCTGGGCGGGGGGGGGGAGGAGGAGGAGGAGGAGGGGGAGGGGGAGGAGGAGGAGGAGCCCCTCCCCCCCCCGCCCCTCCCCCCGGAGCCCCCCAGGGCCCGCGGGGGGGGAGGGGGACCCCAGAGCAGCCCCTTGCGGGAGGAGCACGTGACCTGCGTCCAGAGTGAGTGGGGGGGGGGAGGGGGGGGGGTTGGGGTCATTTTGGGGGGGATTTGGGGTCATTTGGGGGGGGGTTGGGGTCATTTTGGGGGGGATTTTAGGGGTTTTTGGGGCTCTTTGGGGGGTGTTTTGGGGTATAATGGGGGATATATGGGGTATAAAGGGGGGGTTGGGTATATGGGGGGGTTTTGGGGTCATTTTGGGGGGGGTGGGGTCATTTTAGGGGGGTTTTGGGGCTCTTTGGGGGGTATTTTGGGGTATAAGGGGGGATATATGGGGTATAAAGGGGGGGTTGGGTATATGGGGGGGTTTTGGGGTCATTTTGGGGGTGTTGGGGTCATTTTAGGGGGGGTTGGGGCTCTTTGGGGGGGATTTTGGGGTATAATGGGGGATATATGGGGTATAAAGGGTTTTGGGTCAGTTTTGAGCTGTTTTGGGGCCGTTCTGGAGCAGTTTTGGGCCGTTTTGGGTCAGTTTGGGGCCGTTTCGGGGCCGTTTGGGGCCGTTTGGGGTCGGTTTGGGGCCGTTTCGGGTCGGTTTGGGGCCGTTTTGGGTCGGTTTGGGGCCGTTTTGGGTCAGTTTTGGGCCGTTTTGGGTCGGTTTGGGGCCGTTTTGGGTCAGTTTGGGGCCGTTTGGGGCCGTTTCGGGGCCGTTTTGGGTCAGTTTTGGGCCGTTTCGGGTCGGTTTGGGGTCGATTTGGGGCCGTTTTGGGTCAGTTTGGGGCCGTTTGGGGCGGTTTGGGGCCGTTTTGGGTCAGTTTTGGGCTGTTTTGAGCCGTTTTGGGTCGGTTTGGGGCCGTTTCGGGTCGGTTTGGGGCCGTTTTGAGCCGTTTTGGGTCAGTTTTGGGCTGTTTTGAGCCGTTTTGGGTTGGTTTGGGGCCGTTTCGGGGCCGTTTTGGGTTGGTTTGGAGCCGTTTGGGGTCGGTTTGGGGCCGTTTGGGGTCAGTTTTGGGCCGGTTTGGGGCCGTTTGGGGTCGGTTTTGGGCTCTTTCGGGGCCGTTTGGGGCCGTTTTGGGTCAGTTTCGGGGCCGTTTGGGGCCGTTTGGGGCCGTTTTGGGGCCGGTGCGGAGCAGGACCCGAGCGGGCGCGCGCTCCGCGGTGCTTCCCAGGCATCCTGGACGAGTTCCTGCAGGCCTACGGCAGCCTCATCCCGGTGAGCGCCGAGGAGGTGGTCCAGAAGCTGGAGGACATCTTCCAGCAGGAGTTCAGCACCCCCCAGAGGTGCGCGGGGGGGATAAAGGGGGTCTAAGGGGGGGAAATGGGGGCTAAAGGGGGTCTAAGGGGGGGAAATGGGGGCTAAAGGGGGTCTAAGGGGGGTCTAAGGGGGGTCTAAGGGGGGTAAAGGGGGTAAATGGGGTCTAAAGGGGGTCTAAGGGGGGAAATGGGGTCTAAAGGGGGTCTAAAGGGGGGTAAATGGGGTCTAAAGGGGGTAAATGGGGTCTAAAGGGGGTCTAAAGGGGGGTAAATGGGGGCTAAAGGGGGGTAAAGGGGTCTAAAGGGGGTAAATGGGGTCTAAATGGAGTCTAAAGGGGGTAAATGGGGGTCTAAAGGGGGGTAAATGGGGGCTAAAGGGGGGTAAAGGGGTCTAAAGGGGGTAAATGGGGGATAAATGGAGTCTAAAGGGGGGTAAATGGGGTCTAAAGGGGGTAAATGGGGTCTAAAGGGGGTAAATGGGGGATAAAGGGGGGGCAGTGAGGTCTAAAGGGGGAGCAATGGGGTTTAAAGGGGAGATAATGGGGTTTAAAGGGGGCAATGGGGTCTAAAGGGGGTCTAAAGGGGGTAAATGGGGTCTAAAGGGGGTCTAAAGGGGGGTAAATGGGGGCTAAAGGGGGTAAATGGGGTCTAAAGGGGGCCTAAAGGGGGTAAATGGGGTCTAAATGGAGTCTAAAGGGGGGTAAAGGGGGTCTAAAGGGGGTCTAAAGGGGGGTAAATGGGGGATAAAGGGGGTAAATGGGGTCTAAATGGAGTCTAAGGGGGTAAATGGGGTCTAAAGGGGGGTAAATGGGGTCTAAATGGGTCTAAAGGGGGTAAATGGGGTCTAAAGGGGGTTTAAAAGGGGGGAAATGGGGGATAAAGGGGGTAAATGGGGGTTTAAATGGGTCTAAGGGGGGTAAATGGGGTCTAAAGGGGGTGGAAATGGGGGGTAAAGGGGATAAATGAGGGGTAAAGGGAGCAAATAGGGGATAAGGGGTTAAAGGGGGTCTAAAGGGGGGTGGAAATGGAGGTAAATGGGGGTAAAGGGAGCAAATAGGGGATAAGGGGGGTAAATGGGGTCTAAAGGGGGTCTAAAGGGGGTAAATGGGGTCTAAATGGAGTCTAAAGGGGTAAATGGGGGTCTAAAGGGGGGTAAATGGGGTCTAAAGGGGGGTAAATGGGGGCTAAAGGGGGGTAAAGGGGTCTAAAGGGGGTAAATGGGGTCTAAAGGGGGTCTAAAGAGGGTAAATGTGGGTCTAAAGGGGGTAAATGTGGGTCTAAAGGGGGGTAAAGGGGTCTAAAGGGGGGAAATGGGGTCTAAAGGGGGGGAATGTGGTCTAAAGGGGGGAATAGGGTTTAAGGGGGGTAAAGGGGGTCTAAAGGGGGCTATAAGGGGGTAAATGGGGTTTAAAGGGGGTAAATGGGGTCTAAAGGGATCTAAATGGGGCTAAAGGGGGACAAATGGGTCTTAAAGGGCCTAAATGGGGTCTAAAGGGGGGTAAATGGGGTCTAAAGGGGGTCTAAAGGGGGGTAAATGGGGGATAAAGGGGGGTAAATGGGGTCTAAAGGGGGGAAATGGGGTCTAAAGGGGGCTAAAAGGGGGGGAAATGGGGTTTAAAGGGGGTCTAAAGGGGGTAAATGGGGTCTAAAGGGGGTAAATGGGGTCTAAAGGGGGTAAATGGGGTCTAAAGGGGGTAAATGGGGGATAGAGGGGGGGCAATGAGGTCTAAAGGGGGAGCAATGGGGTCTAAAGGGGAGATAATGGGGTTTAAAGGGGGTAAATGGGGTCTAAGGGGGGTAAATGGGGTCTAAATGGAGTCTAAGGGGGGTAAATGGGGTCTAAAGGGGGGGAAATGGGGTCTAGAGGTGGGGCATTGGGGTCTAAATGGGGGAAAAGGGGTCCAAATGGGGGCAATGGGGTCTAAAGGGGAGATAATGGGGGGTAAATGGGGTCTAAAGAGGGGAAATGGGGTCTAAAGGGGATAAATGGGGTCTAAAGGGGGGTAAATGGGGTCTAAAGGGGGGCAAATGGGGTCTAAAGAGGGGGAATGGGGTCTAAAGGGGAGATAATGGAGTTTAAAGCGGGGGAATGGGGTTTAAAGGGGGTAAATGGGGTCTAAAGGGGGCTAAAAGGGGGGAAATGGGGTTTAAAGGGGGGAAATGGGGTCTAAAGGGGGTTAATGGCGTCCAAAGGGGTTCAATGGGGTCTAAATGGGGGTTAATGGGGTTTAAAGGGGGGCGGTTTTGGCCATTTTTGGGGTGGTTTTGTCCGTTTTGTGGGTGTTTTTGGCTGTTTTTGGCATGTTTTTGGCCGTTTTTTGGGAGGTTTTGGCCGTTTTTGTCCGTTTTGGGGGTGTTTTTGGCCGTTTTGGGGGTGTTTTTGGCCGTTTTTGGCCGTTTTTCTTGAGGTTTTGGCCGTTTTTGCCCGTTTTGTGGTGGCTGTTTTTGGCGTGTTTTTGGCCGTTTTTGGGGTGTTTTTGGCCGTTTTTGGTGTGTTTTTGGCCGTTTTTGGCCGTTTTTGGCTGGTTTTGGGGTGTTTTTGGCCGTTTTTGGATGTTTTTGGGGTGTTTTTGGCCATTTTTGGGGTGTTTTTGGCTGTTTTTGGCGTGTTTTGGCCGTTTTTGGCGTGTTTTTGGCTGTTTTTGGTGTGTTTTGGGCCGTTTTTGAGGTGTTTTTGCCCGTTTTGTGGTGTTTTCGGCCGTTTTTGGTGTGTTTTTGGCCGTTTTTGGCTGTTTTTGGGGTGTTTTTGGCCGTTTTTGGCTGTTTTTGGTGTGTTTTGGGCCGTTTTTGGCGTGTTTTTGCCCATTTTGTGGTGTTTTTGGCCGTTTTTGGCCGTTTTGTGGTGTTTTTGCCCGTTTTGTGGTGTTTTTGCCCGTTTTTGGTGCGTTTTTGGGTGTGTGAGTGGTGCCGTACCCCCAGGCGATGCTCGGTGCAGCAGCTCCTGCAGTCCTACCAGCGCCTGCCCGGCACGGCGCTGCTCCGCGGCTTCCGCGTGAGCTACAAGCGCCACGTGCTCACCATGGACGACCTCCAGACCCTCTATGGGCCCAACTGGCTCAACGACCAGGTCCTATGGGGCGCTATGGGGCGGGGAAACACCTATGGGGCCCTATGGGTGGGGGAAACACCTATGGGGCTCTATGGGGGACACACACACCTATGGGGCCCTATGGGGGGGGGGAAACACCTATGGGGCCCTATGGGGGGGGACACACACACCTATAGGACCCTATGGGGGGGGGAAACACCTATGGGGCCCTATGGGGGACACACACACCTATAGGGCCCTATGGGGCGGGGGGACACCTTTAGCTCCCTATGGTTGGGGGAAGCACCTATAGGGCTCTATGGGGGACACACGCACCTATAGGGCCCTATGGGGGGGGGAAACACCTATAGGGCTCTATGGGGGGGACACACACATCTATGGGGCCCTATGGGGGGGGGAAACACCTATGGGGCCCTATGGGGGACACACACACACCTATAGGGCCCTATGGGGGGGAAACACCTATAGGGCTCTATGGGGGACACACACACACCTTTAGGGCCCTATGGGGGGGGAAACACCTATAGGGCAATATGGGGGACACACGCACCTATAGGGCCCTATGGGGGGGGGAAACACCTATGGGGCCCTATGGGGGACACACACACCTATAGGGCCCTATGGGGCGGGGGGACACCTTTAGCTCCCTATGGTTGGGGGAAGCACCTATAGGGCTCTATGGGGGACACACGCACCTATAGGGCCCTATGGGGGGGGGAAACACCTATAGGGCTCTATGGGGGGGACACACACATCTATGGGGCCCTATGGGGGGGGGAAACACCTATGGGGCCCTATGGGGGACACACACACACCTATAGGGCCCTATGGGGGGGAAACACCTGTAGGGCTCTATGGGGTGGGGGCACACACCTTTAGCGCCCTATGGTGGGGGGAAGCACCTATAGGGCCCTATGGGGGGGGGGAAACACCTATAGGGCTCTATGGGGGACACACGCACCTATAGGGCCCTATGGGGGGGGGAAACACCTATGGGGGGGGACACACGCCTATAGGGCCCTATGTGGGGGGGAAACACCTATGGGGCCCTATCGGGTGGGGGGACACACCTATAGGGCCCTATGGGGCGGGGAGACACCTTTAGCTCCCTATGGTGGGGGGAAGCACCTATAGGGCCCTATGGGGGGGGGAAACACCTATAGGGCCCTATGGGGGGGGGAAACACCTATAGGGTTCTATGCGTTGGGGACACACACCTATAGGGCTCTATGGGGCTGGGGGACACACCTATAGGGCCCTATGGGGGGGGACACACACACCTATAGGGCCCTATTGGGGGGGGGAAACACCTATAGGGCTCTATGGGGTGGGGGGACATGCCTTTAGGGCCCTATGGGGGGGGGAAACACCTATGGGGCCCTATGGGGGGGGAAACACCTATAGGGCTCTATGGGGTGGGGAAACACCTATAGGGCTCTATGGGGCTGGGGGACACACCTATAGGGCCCTATGGGGACACACACACACACCAATAGGGCCCTATGGGGGGGGGGAAACACCTATAGGGCTCTATGGGGCGGGGGGACACACCTATGGGGCCCTATGGGGGGGGACACACACAGCTTGAGGGTGGACCCTGTAGAGGTTTGGTGGAGGGGGCCCTATAGGGGTTGGTGGGGGGACTCTATAGGGGCCTGGGGGGGGCACTTTATAGGGGTTTGGGGAGGTTCTGTAGGGGTTTTGGGGGGCCCTATAGGGGTTGGAGGGGGTCACTTTAGGGGTTTGGGGGTGCCCTATAGGGTTTGGGGGTTTCCTATAGGGTTTGGGGGGGCGGTCACGTGATGCTGAGCCCCACTGTCTTTGCCCCCCCCAGGTCATGAACATGTATGGGGACCTGGTGATGGACGCGGTACCCGACAAGGTGAGGGGGTTGTGGGGTGCGGGAGGGGTTGGGGGGGGCATGCACCCCATAACCCCCCCATAGCACCTCTATAGCCCCCCATAACCCTCCTATAGCCCCCCATAACCCTCCTATAGCCCCCCATAGCACCCCTATAGCCCCCCATAACCCTCCTATAGCCCCCCATAACCCTCCTATAGCCCCCTCATAGCACCCCTATAGCCTCCCATAACCCCCCTATAGCCCCCCATAACCCTCCTATAGCCCCCCTATAGCCTCCCATAACCCTCCTATAGCCCCCCATAACCCTCCTATAGCCCCCTCATAGCACCCCTATAGCCCCCCATAACCCTCCTATAGCCCCCCATAGCCCTCCTATAGCCCCCCCATAACCCCCCTATAGCCCCCTCATAACCCCCTCATAGCACCCCCATAGGCCCTCTCATAACCCTCCTATAGCCCCCCCATAACCCCCCTATAGCCCCCTCATAGCACCCCTATAGCACCCCCATAGGCCCTCTCATAACCCCCCATAGACCCCCTATAGCACCCCTATAGCACTCCTATAACCCCCCTATAGCAACCCCATAGCCCCCGTATAACCCCCCATAGACCCCCATAAGCCCCCCATAGACCCCCATAATCCCCCAATAGCCCCCTATAACCACCCCATAGACCTCCATAGCCCCCTATAACCCCCCATAGCCCCCCATAACCCCCCAATTGCCTCCCCATAACCCCCCCATAACCCCCCTATAACCCCCCAGACCCCCCCATAGCCCCCCATAAGCCCCCCATAGCCCCCCATAACCCCCCCATAGCCCCCCATAGAGCCCCATAGCCCCCCATAAACCCCCTATAGACCCCCATAGCCCCCCATAACCCCCCTATAGACCCCCATAGCCCCCCATAATGCCCCCATAGCCCCCTATAACCCCCCAGACCCCCAATAGCACCCCCATAGCCCCCCATAACCCCCCAATAGCCCCCCATAGCCCCCCATAGCCCCCCCTAACCCCCCGTTTCCCCCCCCAGGTCCACTTCTTCAATAGCTTCTTCTATGACAAACTGCGGACGCGGGGCTACGAGGGGGTGCAGCGCTGGACCAAGAACGTGAGGGGCGGGGCCTAAGGGGGCGGGGCCTAAGGGGGCGGGGCCTAAATGGGGCGGGGTAAAACGGGGGCGGTCCTAAAGGGGCGGAGTCAGAGCGTGGGAGGGGGTGAATGGGGATGAATGGAGGAGCGTGGCCTCTGAGGATGGGGAGGAGTCAATGAATGGGCGGGGCTAGAAGGGGGCGTGGCTTGTGGTAAGGGTGGGCCTATCCTAGGGGCTGTAGGAAGGGTGTGTCCAATGGCCCAAGGGGGCGTGGCCGATGGCCCAAGGGGGCGTGGCCGATGGCCAGAAGGGGGTGTGTCCAATGGCCCAAGGGGGTGTGTCCAACGGCCCAAGGGGGCGTGGCCGATGGCCAGAAGGGGGTGTGTCCAATGGCCCAAGGGGGCGTGTCCAATGGGCAAATGGGGCGTGTTCAATGGGCAAAGGGGGCGTGTCCAACGGCCAAGGGGGCGTGTCCAATGGCCCAAGGGGGCGTGGCCGATGGCCCGAAGGGGGCGTGTCCAATGTCCTCCAGAGGGGGCGTGCCCAATGGGCAAAGGGGCGTGTCCAATGGTCGGAGGGGGGCGTGTCCAATGCCCTCAAGGGGGGCGTGTCCAATGGGCCAAGGGGGACGTGGCCGATGGTCCCAATGGGTGTGTCCAATGTGCGAAGGGGGCGTGTCCAATGACCTGAGGGGGGCGTGTCCAATGACCTGAAGGGGGCGTGTCCAATGGCCCGAAGGGGGCGTGTCCAATGCCTCAAGGGGGTGTGTCCAATGTCCCCAAAGGGGCGTGTCCAACGGCCATGGGGGCGTGTCTAATGTCCCCAAGGGGGCGTGTCCAACGGAACAAGGGGGCGTGGCCGATGGTCCCAATGGGCGTGTCCAATGTGTGAAGGGGGCGTGTCCAATGGTCCGAAGAGGCGTGTCCAATGGGCAAAGGGGGCGTGTCCGATGCCCCCCAAGGGGGCGTGTCCAACGGCCAAGGGGGCGTGTCCAATGGTCCAAGGGGGCGTGACCGATGGTCCCAATGGGCGTGTCCAATGGCCAAAGGGGGCGTGTCCAATGGCCGAAGGGGGCGTGGTTGATGGTCGAAGGGGGCGTGTCCAATTGGCAAAGGGGGCGTGTCCAACGGCCCGAAGGGGGCGTGTCCAATGGCCCGAAGGGGGCGCGTCCAACGGAACAAGGGGGCGTGTCCAATGGTCCAAGGGGGCGTGGCCGATGGTCCCAATGGGCATGTCCAGCGGTCGGAGGGGGCGTGTCTGATGCCTCAAAGGGGCGTGTCCAATGGCCAAAGGGGGCGTGTCCAATGACCTGAGGGGGGGGTGTCCAATGGTCCGAAGGGGCGTGTCTAATGGGCAAAGGGGGCGTGGCCGATGGTCCCAATGGGCGTGTCCAGTGGTCCAAGGGGGCGTGTCCAATGCCCTAAAGGGGCGTGTCCAATGGCCCAAAGGGGGCGTGTCCAATGGGCAAAGGGGGCGTGTCCAAGCCGTAGCCCCGCCCCGTTGCAGGTGGACATCTTCGGCAAGGAGCTGCTGCTCATCCCCATCCACCTCGAGGTGCACTGGTCCCTCGTGGCCGTGGACGTCACCCGCCGCCGCATCACCTACTTCGACTCCCAGCGCACCCTCAACCGGCGCTGCCCCAAGGTGGGGGGCAAGGGGGTTCTATAGGGGGAAACGGGGGTTCTGTGGGGGGAAACGGGGGTTCTGTGGGGAGAAAGGGGGCATCTATGGGGGAAAGGGGGCTTCTATAGGGGGAAAGGGGGGGGAAGGGGGCTTCTATGGGGGAAAGGGGGCTTCTATAGGGGGAAAGGGGGCTTCTATAGGGGGAAAGGGGGGGGAAGGGGGCTTCTATGGGGGAAAAGGGGGGGGAAGGGGGCATCTATAGGGGGAAAGGGGGCTTCTATGGGGGGAATGGGGGCTTCTATGGGGGGAAAGGGGGCTTCTGTGGGGTAAATGGGGCTTCTAGGGGGGGGAAGGGGGGGAAGGGGGCTTCTATGGGGGGAAAGGGGGTTTCTATGGGGGGAATGGGGGCTTCTGTGGGGGGAAAGGGGGTTTCTATGGGGGGAAGGGGGCTTCTATGGGGGGAAAGGGGGTTTCTATGGGGGGAATGGGGGCTTCTGTGGGGGGAAAGGGGGTTTCTATGGGGGGAAGGGGGCTTCTATGGGGGGAAAGGGGGCTTCTATGGGGGGAATGGGGGCTTCTGTGGGGGGAATGGGGGGGGAATGGGGGCTTCTATGGGGGGAAGGGAGCTTCTGTGGGGGGAAAGGGGGCTTCTATGGGGAAAATGGGGGGGAAAGGGGACATCTATGAGGGAACGGGGGCTTCTATAGGGGGAAAGGGGGCTTCTGTGGGGTAAATGGGGCTTCTGTGGGGGGAATGGGGGGAGAAAGGGGGCTTCTGTAGGGGGGAAAGAGGGCTTCTATCGGGGTAAATGGGTCTTTTATAGGGGGAAAGGGGGGTTTTATAGGGGGAAGGGGGGGAAGGGGGCTTCTATAGGGGGTAAATGGGGCTTTTATAGGGGGAAAGGGGGGGTAAATGGGGCTTTTATAGGGGTAAAGGGGGGAAAGGGGGCTTCTATGGGGATAAATGGGGCTTTTATAGGGGGAAAGGGGGCTTTTTATAGGGGGAAAGGGGGCTTCTATGGGGAAAGGGGGGGAAAGGGGGCTTCTATGGGGAAAGGGGGGGGAAGGGGGCTTCTATAGGTTGAAGGGGTGGAAGGGGCCTTTTATAGGGGTAAAGAGCGTAAATAGGGCTTCTGTAGGGGTAAAGAGGGCTTTTATAGGGGGTAAAGGGGGGGAAAGGGGGCTTTTATAGGGGGGAAAGGGGATAAAGGAGGGGTAAAGGGGCTTTAGGTTCCTTTTATAGGGGGTAAATGGGGGTTTATAGGGATAGAGGGGGGTAAAGGAGGGGTAAAGGGGGCTTTAGGTTCCTTTTATAGGGGGTAAATGGGGGTTTATAGGGGTAGAGGGGGGTAAAGGAGGGGTAAAGGGGGCTTTAGGTTCCTTTTATAGGGGGTAAATGGGGGTTTATAGGGATAGAGGGGGTAAAGGGGGCTTTGGGGTCATTATGGGGGTAAAGGGGGGGGTTATTGGGGTCTTTATAGGGGGTAAAGGGGGGCATGGCGTAAAAGCCATGGTGTACGTGAAAGGGGGCGTGGCCTGGCCCTAAGGGGGCGTGGCCTCCCCTCCTGACTCCGCCCCCCCCGCAGCACATCTGCCGGTACCTGCAGGCCGAGGCCGACAAGAAGGAGCGCCCCGACTTCCGGGAGGGCTGGCGGGGGGCCTTCAAGATGGTGGGTGCCCCCCCACACATTGGGGACCCCCTGTTCCTATGGGTGACCCCCATGTTCCTATGGGGGACCCCCCTGTTCCTATGGGGATCCCCCTTTTCCTATGGGGATCCCCCTTTTCCTATGGGGGATCTTCCTTTTCCTATGGGGACCCCACTGTTCCTATGGGGATCCCCCTTTTCCTATGCGTGACCCCCCTGTTCCTATGGGGATCCCCCTGTTCCTATGGGGATCCCCCTGTTCCTATGGGGATCTCCCTTTTCCTATGGGGACCCCCCTGTTCCTATGGGGACCCCCATGTTCCTATGGGGATCTCCCTTTTCCTATGCGTGACCCCCCTGTTCCTATGGGGGACCCCTCTTTCCCTATGGGTGACCTCCATGTTCCTATGGGGAACCCCTCTTTTCCTATGGGGGATCCCCCTTTTCCTATGGGGAACCCTCATGTTCCTATGTATGACCCCCCTGTTCCTATGGGGGACCCCCATTTTCCTATGTAAACCCCCCATGTTCCTATGGGGAACCCTCATGTTCCTATGTATGACCCCCCTGTTCCTATGGGTGACCCCCGTTTTCCTATGTAGACCCCCCATGTTCCTATGGGGGACCCCCCTTTTCCTATGGGGGATCTCCCTTTTCCTATGGGGGATCTCCCTTTTCCTATGGGGATCTCCCTTTTCCTATGGGGACCTCCATGTTCCTATGGGGAACCCCCATGTTCCTATGGGTGACCCCCATTTTCCTATGCAGACCCCCCATGTTCCTATGGGTGACCCCCCTTTTCTTATGGGGACCCCCCTTTTCCTATAGGGGCCCCCCTGTTCCTATGGTGACCCCCTTTTCCTATAGGAGCCCCCCGTTTCCTATAGGAGCCCCCGTTTTCCTATAGGGGCCCCCCTTTTCCTATGGGGGACCTCTCTGTTCCTATAGGGACCCCCATTTTCCTATGCAGACCCCCCATGTTCCTATGGGGACCCCCTTTTCCTATGGGGACCCCCTTTTCCTATGTGTGACCCCCATTTCTCCCCCCCCCCCGCCCCATAGAATGTGGCCCGGCAGAACAACGACAGCGACTGTGGGGCCTTCGTGCTGCAGGTGAAGGGGGCGGGGCTTGGAGGGGGCGGGGCTTGGAGGGGGCGGGGCTTGGGGGGGGGAGAATGGGGGGCACTTGTGGGCTCATAGGGGCACACATGGGGTCATATGATGTCATAGGGGCATATATGGGGGTCACATGGGGGGGCAGAGAGGGCATACATGA